AATTTTCCCCCCCCTCCCCCCCCACTAACCAATAGGGGGCCTATTCCCCCCCACTAAACCCCCGATGGGGCACACCCCCCCACTAAAACCCAAGATGGGGCCTATTCTCCCACTACCCAAATGGGGCCACCCCCCTCCCCTGATCCCCAATAGGGCATATTCCCCCCCCAACCTCCAAGATGGGGCACTTTTTCCCCCTGACCCCGATGGGCCACCCCCCTATACCAATGAGGGGGCACTATTCCCACGACCCAATGATGGGGACAATTTCCCCCCTAAACCCCAATGAGGGGCACTTTCCTCCCCCACTGTACTTGTGGGAAAACTATTCCCCCACGAACCAAGAGGGGCCCCTATTCCTCCCATTCCCAAATGAGGGGGGCACTTTTCCCCCCACTAAAACCCAAAAGGGTGGGCCTATTCCCCCCGATCCAAGATGGGGGAACTATCCTCCAAAAACCAGTGGGGACTTTCCTCCCCTGAACCCCAAATGATGGGGACTATTCCCCACTGATAAATGATGGGGCCAATTTCCTCCCACTGACCCCCATGATGGGCCTATTCCCCCCCTGTAAAAGATGGGGTTTTTTCCTCCCCTCCTACCAAAAAGGGGCCACTATTCCCCCACTGAACCAATGAGGGGACTATTCCCCCCACGTTTCAATGAGGGGGCCCCTTTTCCCCTCCCCCAAAACCCAATATGGGACATTTCCTCCCCTGACCCCCAATGATGGGCCTATTCCCTTCCCACTAAACCCCCAAGGAGGGCAAAATTCCCCCCCACTGACCCAATATGGGACATATTCCCCCCACGGACCCAATGATGGGACTTTTCCCCCCCCCACCTTTTTAAACCCCCCCCAAATGAGGGGCCATTCCCCCATGAACCAAGATGGGCACTATTCCCCCAGAACCAATGGGGGCACTTTTCCCTCCCACTGACACCAATGGGGGGCACATTCCCCCCATGCCCCCAATGATGGGACATATTCCCCCACTGACCCAAATGGGGGGGCACAATTCCTCAATGACCCCCAAGAGGGGACAAAATTTCCTCCCACAAACCCAAGATGGGGCCTACCCTCCCACTGATCCCAAAACCGATGGGACACTATTCAGCCACTGACATCAGTGATGGGGCGCTAGTCCTCCCACTGCAAAATTACAGTTATGAAGTAGCGCAACGAAAATAATTTTATGATTGGGGGTCACCACAAACATGAGGCAACTGTATTAAGGGGTCGCGGCGCTTAGAAAGGTTTTGAGAACCACTGTCCTTTACCATTGTGGTGCAGTGTGTGGCGCTGCAATCTTTCAAGGGTTTGAAACCAGGTAATGAGGTAGATTGACATATACCCTCATAACCACCTGTCAACAACCGTCTAAAAAGTGATCCATCACAGATAATTTTTTCAGAGAGGTGGGTGAACGCCACTGCAACTGTAAACCCTAAAAGATGAAATACTGCAACAGTGCCTGCAGATACAGAGGTTAGCAAACCCGTTGTTTTAAAGCATTGGTCTCCAAAATGCAGCCCGGAGGGCTAGATGTGGCCCTTTGCGTGCTTTATCTGCCCTTGGGCCACCATTCCACCCAAATGACACCCAATGATGGGCCACCATTTCCAACAACTGACACCAATGATGGGCCACCATACCTTTCTGACACCTATTAATGGGGCACTATTCCTCCCATATTTGAATCAACAATGAGGCACTGATACCAGATCATTTTGTAGCTCCACACTGAGTACATTCTGGCCTTTTAAATAGCCTCAAGGACAGTAAACTGGTCCTTTGCTTTGAAAGTTTGTAGACCCTGTTTTAAGAAAGCCTATCTACTGCCTATTAAGAATACGTAGATGTTTTGAATGTCTTAGCCTGGCCACAGTCCTGCTTTGGTCTGTAGATTTATGGAAAGTTAAAGTGTGTTACTAAACCCAGGACCCCTGCATTCATTTTATCTGGTCTCCCCGGACCCTGCATTCACTATATCGCTTCTCCTGGACCCTGCATTCACTATATCTGGTCTCCCGGACCCTGCATTCACTAATATTGGTCTCCCCGGACCCTGCATTTCACTATATCTTGTCTCCCTGGACCTGCATTCAACTATATCCACTCTCCCCGGACCCACTGCATTCACTATGTATCCACTCTCCCCGGACCCTGCATTCACTATATCTGCTCTCGACTGGGACCCTGCATTCACTACGTATTGCTCTCCCCGGACCCTGCATTCACTATAATCCAGTCTCCCCAGGACCTGCTGATTCACTACATCTGATCTCCCCGGACCCTGCATTCACTACATTCTGATCTCCCGGTGACCCTGAATTCACTATATCTGGTCTTTCCCCGGACCTGCATTCACTAATATCCGGTCTCTCCGGACCCTGCATTCACTATATCCAGTCTCCCCAGACCCTGCATTCACTTATCTGGTCTCCCCGGACCCTGCATTCACTATATTGGTCCTCCCGGACCCCCTGACATTCACTATATCCAGTCTCCCCAGACCGCTGCATTCACTATATCTGGTCTCCATGGACCCTTCATTCACTATATAGTCTGGTCTCCATGGACCCTGCCATTCACTATATCATGGTGATTCTCCCCGGACCCTGCATTCACTATATCTGCTTCTCCCTTGTCTCCTTGGACCCTGGCAGTCACTATATCTGGTCTCTACCCCGGACCTGCAGTCCACTATATCTGGTCTCCCGGACCCTGCAGTCACTATATCTGGTCTCCCCGGACCTGCATTCACTATATCTGGTCTCCCCGGACCCTGCATTCACTATATTTGGTCTCCCACAGTACACAGAATACAAGGAAATGCAATTATTTTAGTAAATATAAACTTGCTAATACTTTTTATCTATCAGTATGTAGCAGTCTTGTGATTTCTATCAGTGTGCAGCAGAGCAACTGATTAATCTTGTAGGAGGAGTTTTCATTCTGCTCCAGGAGGATTCAGAAACCCCCTGACCCTCTGTCTGGACAGTGCTGATTGATCCTATGCTGATCACACGCACTCCCCCCTCCCCCAAAAAAAAGAAAAGAAAAACCTTTTTTAGCAATATACACCAAACTGAGCATGTGCAGAGTGACTCCACAGGATATGACTTATCAGGAGATAAGAGGGGGCACTACAAGAAAGGGGAGGATCAGAGAAGACAGGATTTTTTACTCAATGCAGAGGATTAACCCCTTAGTTTCCACAGTGAGTATAACAAGCATGCTTTGCTGCATCTACAGACTGATGTTACTATTGTGGGTTTAGTTACACTTTAACACTGTGATGGTGTATTGTATTTAGCTTAGCCACGTGCCCTCCAGGGAATTTACCCCCCCCCTTCCTGACCAGGCCATTTTTTGTGATAAGGCACTGTGTTATTTTAACTGACAGTTACGCGGTCATGCAACGCTGTACATAACTTACATTTATGTCCTTTTTTTCCCACAAAATGGAGCTTTCTTTCGGTATTTGATCAGCTCTGTGGTTTTTATTTTTTGCGCTACAAACAAAAAAAGACCAACATTTTGAAAACAAAACACTATTTTATACTTTTTGCTATAAAACATATCCAATAAATTTAAAAAAAAAATTCTTTATAAATTTAGGCCAAAATGCATTTGCTAAAAAAAAAAAAAAAACCCCAATAAGTGTAAATGAATTGAGTTACGTGAAACTTATAGCGTCTACAAATGGCGGTATATATATTGGAAATTTGTTTTTATACTAGTAATGGTGGTGATCAGCGACTTATAGCGGGACTGCGGCGGGCATTCTGACACTGAAGGGGAACTGACTCGGTGTCACTGACATCCCCAGTGACACCAATACAGTGATCACTACTAATAAAAAGCACTGACGCTGTACTAATGACACTGGGCAGGAAGGGGTGTGAACATGCGGTTGCGATCAAAGGGTTAACTGTGTGCCAGGGGTGGACTGACCATTTGGAAACTCGGGCACTGCCCGTGGGCCTGGGGTCAGTAGGGGGCCCCATGAGATGCCCCTGGTACCTTTTTCATAGGCTTTTTTGAGTTTGGGCAAGGACACAGGGGCCCCATGATCCCCTATTGCCCAGGGGCCCCATGAGTTGTCAGTCCGCCCCTGCTGTGTTGCTGTGTGTGTTTTTACAACATGTGCTGTGTGTGTTTCACTAGGGAGACATGCTGTGCAGAGAGATACAAAGCAGCATGTCCTTGCTGACAGGAGAGAGACCTGTGTTGTTTACATACAGGTCTCTCCCCTGTGCAGGGGCGGACTGACAACTCATGGGGCCCCTGGGCAATAGGGGATCATGGGGCCCCTGTGTCCTCGCCCACACTCAAACCACGCCCAAAAAAGCCTATGAAAGGTACCAGGGGCATCTTTATGGGGCCCGAGTTTCCGAATGTGTCAGTCCGCCCCTGCCCCTGTTAGACAATCACAGAGTGCCGGCCGGGAATCGCTGGCCGAAACCCGGTGATTGACATCCCCAGCCGCCAATGGCAGTACGGGTAGGGTGGCGTGTGCCCCATATCCGGAAATGCGAATTATGTGTATATATACATGATTTTGTACAGCCCTGCCTCCCTCTAGCAGTATTTTTACTATAGGGCGGAGGGCAAGTGCTTAAAAACTGCAGATTGAATCTTGATTTATTGATTGATTGGCTGATTGATTGATTGATAATGTGTGACAAGAGGGAAGGACCGGGGATAAATATCAGAAACAAAAGAAAAAAGACCAAATCATTGAAACTTCTCTCAATAACCTTTCGGTAATGAATTTACTCCCAAAATGACCCCGAGGTACAATTCTGCTGTAAATAACATCGGCACAATGATCCTGAGCCGGGATGCTACAATATCCCGGCACACACATAATTTGATATTGATAATGGACTTCTCCGCTCTGAATCGAGTGTAATATTACAAGTTGGAAATACACAATAAGCACATTCTGTGCGTTTTATCGGCAGCGGGAGGAGGAAGCTGAGAGCGATAATGCCTTCGGATTCACAAGGTTACAGACGGTGTCCTGCTTTATGTTTTGCAGGTTTGGTGACGGCGCTGCAGGTGATCATAGACAAGGAGAACATACAGGTGGCCGGGGGGGGTCAGTCTGCGGGACTCTTATGCACTTTCACCACCAGTGCGGCGCTAACGAACCTCAACATCATCTGGACTGTAACACCGCTGTCCAATGCCAACCAGCCTGAACAGGTAAGAAAGCCTTGTAGGTTTATATGGTCTCCTGGGAAAAGAGAGAAAATACTTTCTATGTAACCAAGAGAGGAGCTGATCAGAGATTTGCAGCCATTGGCTGTACACAGTGGAACTTCAGAAAATGTCCAAAATGTTGCCTGTCATGTAAAAATAAAAAAAGCAGCGAAGTACATTTTTTCACCACTAGATGTTCTTAGTCTTCCAGTTTGAATGGTCACAGCATCATCTAAGACAGTAGTTTCTCATTCTGTGGGTTGCAACCCCTTTGGGGGTCGAACGACCCTTTCACAGGGGTCACCTAAGACCATCAGAAAACACATATTTCCCATGGTCTTAGGAACCGAGACACCGCTTCTCTATCCGTCTCCAGGCGGGTCCGCCCACATGCAGATTTGCCCACATACGAGTATCCGGCGTGATGACATCATCGCGCCAACCCCATCACATACACCCTGTACAAATACAGGTGTATGTGACAGGGTTGGCGCCATAATATACTTATGTGGACCAGTCACACATGTGTAAAGAGCAGCTACTGTGTAGAAAGCAGCTGTTGTGTAGAAAGCAGCTACTGTGTTGAATGCAGCTACTGTGTAGAAAGCAGCTATTGTTTTGAAAGCAGCTACTGTGTAGAAAGCAACTGCTGTGTAGAAAGCAGCTGCTGTGTAGAAAGCATTTACTGTGTAGATAGCAGCTACTGTGTTGAAAGCAGCTACTGTGTAGAAAGCAGTTACTGTGTAGAAAGCAGCAACTGTGTTGAAAGCAGCTACTGTCTTGAAAGCAGCTACTGTCTTGAAAGCAGCTACTGTCGTGAAAGCAGCTACTGTGTAGAAAGCAGCTGCTGTGTAGAAAGCAGCTGCTGTGTTGAAAGCAGCTACTGTGTAGAAAACAGCTGCTGTGTAGAAAGCAGCTGCTGTGTAGAAAGCAGCTACTGTGTTGAAAGCAGCTGCTGTGTTGAAATCAGCTGCTGTGTAGAAAACAGCTGCTGTGTAGAAAGCAGCTGCTGCGTAGAAAACAGCTGCTGTGTTGAAAGCAGCTAGTGTATAGAAAGCAGTTACTGTCTAGAAAGCAGCTACTGTGTTTAAAGAAGCTACTGTGTTGAAAGAAGCTACTGTGTAGAAAGCAGCTAATGTGTTGAAAGCAGCTACTGTGTAGAAAGTAGCTGCTGTGTAGAAAGCAGCTGCTGTGTAGAAAGCAGTTGTTGTGTAGAAAGCAGTTGTTGTGTAGAAAGCAGCTGTTGTGTTGAAAGCAGCTGCTGAGTTGAAATCAGCTACTGTGTAGAAAACAGCTGCTGTGTAGAAAGCAGCTACTGTGTTGAAAGCAGCTACTGTGTAGAAAGCAGCTACTGTGTAGAAAGCAGTTGTTGTGTAGAAAGCAGCTGCTGTGTTGAAAGCAGCTACTGTGTAGAAAGCAGTTGCTGTGAAGAAAGCAGCTACTGTGTTGAAAGCAGCTACTGTGTTGAAATCAGCTACTGTGTAGAAAACAACTGCTGTGCAGAAAGCAGCTGCTGTGTAGAAAGCAGCTACTGTGTTGAAAGCAGCTACTGTGTTGAAAGCAGCTACTGTGTAGAAAGCAGCTACTGTGTTGAAAGCAGCTACTGTGTTGAAAGCAGCTACTGTGTTGAAAGCAGCTACTGTGTAGAAAGCAGCTACTGTGTAGAAAGCAGATGCTGTGTAGAAAGCAGCTGCTGTGTTGAAATCAGCTACTGTGTAGAAAAGAGCTGCTGTGTAGAAAGCAGCTGCTGTGTAGAAAGCAATTACTGTGTAGAAAGCAGCTACTGTGTTGAAAGCAGCTACTGTGTAGAAAGCAGTTACTGTGTAGAAAGCAGTTACTGTGTTGAAAGCAGCTACTGTGTAGAAAGCAGCTGCTGTGTAGAAAGCAGTTACTGTGTTGAAAGCGGTTGCTGTGTAGAAAGCAGCTGCTGTGTTGAAAGCAGCTACTGTGTAGAAAGCAGCTACTGTGTTGAAAGCAGTTGCTGTGTTGAAAGCAGCTACTGTGTTGAAAGCAGCTACTGTGTTGAAAGCAGCAGTATTGGAGGTAAAACAACACTTCATGAATTATAATTACTGGGAAAATGTAAAATCATCAACTGCTGCAAAAAAAAAAATATTTGTGATTAATCGCTATGCTGTAATTATGTTCAATTTGTAACAATGAAAATCCATCCTGCATATCAGATATTTACATTACGATTCATAATAGTAGCAAAATTACAGTTATGAAGTAGCAACAAAAATATATGGTTGGGGGTCACCACAACATGAGGAACTGTATTAAAGGGTCGCGGCATTACGAAGGTTGAGAACCACTGCTCTAAGAGGAACAACAGAGGCGCCAACAAAGTGAAGTACAAAATTATAAGTTACAGCAGTGTGAACCAGGGCCCTGGGACTAATGAGAAGGGCGCAAGGCCTGGAAGGAAGGGATTGGGGCTCGGAGGGAAGGGAAGGACCCCTGAAAACAACAGGAAAGGGCTCCAACGGTCAGAGGGTCAAAGTGCAGTAAAAAATTATACATTGCAGTAGTGTGAACCAGGGCCCCGGGAATAATGGGAAAGGCCCAAGGCCCGGAAGGAAGGGAAGGACTCTTGAAACCACAGGAAAGGGATCCAACGGTCAGGGGGTCAAAGTGCAGTAAAAAATTATAAGTTGCAGTAGTGTGAACCAGGGCCCCAGGACTAATGGGAAGGGCCCAATGCTCGGAAGGAAGGGACTGGGGCTTGGAGGGAAGGGAAGGACCCCTAAAAAAACAGGAAAGGGCTCCAACGGTCAGAGGGTCAAAGTGCAGTAAAAATTATAAGTTGCAGCAGTGTGAACCAGGGCCCCGGGACTAATAGGAAGGGCCCAAGGCCCGGAAGGAAGGGAATGGGGCTCGGAGTGAAGGAAAGGACCCCTGAAACTACAGGAAAGGGATCCAACGGTCAGGGGGTCAAAGTGCAGTAAAAAATTATAAGTTGCAGCAGTGTGAACCAGGGCCCTGGGAATAATGGGAAGGCCCAAGGCCCAGAAGGAAGGGACTGGGCCTCGGAGGGAAAGAAGGGACCCCTGAAACCACAGGAAAGGGCTTCAACGGTCATGGGGTCAAAGTGCAGTAAGAAATTATACATTGCAGCAGTGTGAACCAGGGCCCTGGGACTAATGGGAAGGGCCCCAGGCCCGGAAGGAAGGGACTGGGGCTCGGAGGGAAGGGAAGGACTCCTGAAACTACAAGAAAGGCTCTGGGACTAATGGAAAGGACCCCAACCATCAGCGAGGCCCTTTATGCTTTCTTGCACCAAGGCCCTGAAGGTTCTTGCTATGCCTCTGATCACAGTCCACATACAATTCATCCACGGGGATTAGTGGCAGCACCTCAGTGAGGATGAAGTCATCTCTGTAAACGAATACAGTGAGAGAAACAGCAGAGGGCGCCAAACAGAGGGCGCGCCGACTAAGTGCAGTAATAAGTAACATTTTATAAAAACTCGCAATTTGTCGCCTCATTATTGGCATAACTCCACACATAAGCAGCTATAGATGGAGCAATGCCATTAATATTGTGTGCCAGGTGAGTCGCAAATTGCGTGTTTTTAATCCAATTTTAGTGCCCCTGTCCTCCCGTACTCGTGCGCAAAGGCAAACACACACACGCAAACAGCGATCGTCCCACACAGGTGAGGTATTGCTGCGACCGTCAGATCATGGGCAGTAATTCTAGTGCTAGACCTCCTCTGTAAATCTAAAGTGGTAACCTGTAAAGGCTTTTAACCTCCTTAGCGGTTTTCCTGAGTGTAGCTCGGGTTAAAATCTCAATACCAAAAGCGGTAACCCCGAGCTACACTCGGGCTTACCATGCGGCGCAGTTCTGGGGGTCCCTGCAGCACTTACCTTGTCCTTCGCTCCCGCGATGTGTCCCCTGCAGCGTCCCCGGCCATCTCCTCCGGCCGATGCCGGCATCCGGCTTCCGTGTTCCGGTCCCTGTGACGTCGGCGGGAAATTTGAATATTTTTAAAAATGTCATTTTTGCTGTCATTGCTATTTCAAACCATTTCACATACATTTTGTCCCGAGTGCTTTGTCTGGCGCCCTGCCTGCATTTTGAATGTTCTTTCTGCCTGGAAACTGAGAAAAGTCCATGGCGGCCAAAAAGCGTCCCTTTACGTCAAAAGCGGTTTTTAGAACAGCGATAGTAAATCAGAACCACTTGCAGAATTGAGTGATAATGATTTGTGGGGGAAATTCCTCATCAGACACTGAAAACGATTTTGCGAATTTGCCTCTGTATTTCAAATTTCAGTGTTTTTGGTTTGATTATATTATTGAATTCAATTTATTATTATTATTATTATATTATTATTTTTTATGATTATTTATTAAATTATAATTTATGATTTCCGTGTTTAAAATTTTATCATACCCGGGATGTTTACTAGACTCTTGTTCGGACAGATTTCAGTGAGTTATTCCTAAAAATTACAGCCTACAATAAAAAAACTACATATTTCTATGCAAAAAAAAGGTACCGCTTTCAGCACAAAAAATCAGAAAGATTCATACCGCCAAGGAGGTTAAAGCATCACCTATGAATTGCACAATTTACGTAGTTTGTCGCAGTTGTACCGGTGTGTGCAATTCTAAAGCGTGACACGTTTGGTATCTATTCACTCTGCGTAACATAATTTTTTTTTATTTTACAAAAAAATTGGGATATGTATTGCGTGTTTTTGCAATAATATTTTGAAAAAGTGTATTTTTTCCCCAAGAATTGCGTACATAATTTTTCTTTTATTTTACAAAAAATTGGGTTATGTGTTGCGTGTTTTTGCAATAATATTTTGAAAAAGTGTATTTTTTCCCCAAGAATTGCGTAACATAATTTTTATTTTATTTTACAAAACAATTAGGTTATGTGTTGCGTGTTTTTTGCAATAATATTTTGAAAAAGTGTATTTTTTCCCAAAAAATTGCGTAACATTTTTTTTTATTTTACAAAAAAATTGGGTTATGTGTTGCGTGTTTTTGCAATAAAATTTTGAAAATTGTATTTTTTCCCCAAAAATTGAGTTTAAAAAACCACTGCGCAAATACCGCGTGACATAAAAAAAATAAAAAAACACCAATTTATTCTGTAGGGCCTCTGCTCTAAACAATATATAATGTTTGGGGGTTTCTAAGACATTTTCTAGCAAAACTTACTGATTTTGAAATGTAAATAAAAAGTGCCAGAAACGGCCTGGGGCTGAAGTGGCTAGAGGTGTCCCTTGCAGTTTCTCTTCTTTGTCACAAGATGTCCTCAGTCTTCCAGGTAGTATGATGTGTCATGTGACTCAACCCAGTAGACTGAGGACATACTGTGAGTACAGGGTGTCATGGACCTTCTATGACAGTGCCCTGCAATCACAGTGTATGGATAGAGACATGTGTGGTTTGTTTCGTTCAGAATCACATTTCAGACAAATTTTTTCATTTTCGAAGATTCGAATGTATCCGACTAACGAATACAAAAATAACAAATTTAAACAAATTTGAAAGAACGAAACAAAATTTGACCGAAATTCAATTAGAAAAGAAATTTGAATTCAAAAACAAAATTGAAAACAAAATAAAACAAACATTCGAAAACAAATTTGAAGTGGAGCTTCACCCAAAAAGGGAAGTTCCGCTTTAACGACTGGTCCCCCGACCCCCGTTGTTTTTCCAATTTTTTCGAATTAGGTTGAAATCTTTTCTATTTCGAACAACTTTTCTAATTTTGTTGAATCAATTTCGAATTCGGTGGAACCAATTTCTAACAACTTTTCGAATTTGGTCAAAATGTTTTTGAATTGAATTTGAATATGAATTACCAAAACGAATCTTGAAAACGAATTGAACGAATTTATCGAATCCAGCAACGCAAAATTTGTTAGATTTTGAAACGAAACAAAACAATTTTTTTTGTTTTGCACACGTCTATAATGCATCATCCAGGACCACACACCACCAGGAAAAGAAGGAAGAGGACCCAGCACATCATGTGACCAATGGGAATACATCAAATAAAGATCAGTAAGGGGGAAAAAAAAAGGAAAAAGCATACAGCTGAGAGGGCATGGAAGGTGGGGGGGGGGGGGGGGTAAAGGGGGGGTTAATGGGGGGGGGGGGGGCAGTTTCCCACATGGAAGAAAAATATATTTTAGATATAATTTAAAAATATTTTTCCCAAATATATTGTCATATATTTGAAATACTACAATTTTGTTCATATATGACTATATATAAAAAATACATTTAATCTAAATTTTTGGAATGCATTTACAAATATATGTTAAAATGACTTTTTTATATGCTAAAAAAAATCTGAAGAATATATTAAATATATTTTTAAAAACCCATAAGGAAGAAAAATATATTTTAAATATAGTTTACAAATATTTTTCCCAGATATATTTACATATATTTGTAATACTACAATTTTGGCCCTATTCAATATATTTCAATATACAGTATATATATATATATATATATATATATATATATACTGTATGTTAAAATGCGTTTTTTATATATTTACAAAATATATAAAAAGCATTTTTAAAAATGTTTTTTTAAATATATTCTTCAGTTTTTTTTAGCATATAAAAAAGTCATTTTACATATATTTGTAAATGCATTCCAAAAATGTAGCTTAAATGTATTTTTTTCATGTATTTTGTAATATATAAAAAACGCATTTCAACATACAGTATGTGTATATATATATATATATTTTTAGATATAATTTAAAAATATTCTTCCCAAATATATTGTCATATATTTGAAATACTACAATTTTTTCCATATTCAATATATATATATATATACTGTATGTTGAAATGTGTTTTTATATATTAGAAAATACATGAAAAAAAATACATTTAATCTACATTTTTGGAATGCATTTACAAATATATGTTAAAATGACTTTTTTATATGCTAAAAAAAATTCAGAAGGATATATTTTTAAAAAATATACTTTTAAAAATGCTTTTTATATGTTTTGTAATATATAAAAAATGCATTTCAACATACAGTATATATATATATATATATATATATATATATATATATATATATATTTATTTATTTTTAGTATATTGAATACGGCCAAAATTGTATTATTTCAAATATATGTAAATATATTTGGGAAGAATATTTGTAAAATATATTTTCCTTCCATGTGGGTGGGCTTTAAAATAATAAAAAAAAACAAAAAAAACCTGATGGTATACTTTTTTCATCTCTTCTCAGATCATCATCTACCAGGGCGGGCAGGTTTTCACCACCGCAGCGCAGTTCCAGGGCCGAGTCGGGTTTATGCAGACCATGCCGAACACCAACGCCTCCATATATATAAACAACACCCAGCTGTCAGATACGGGGACCTACCAATGTATGGTCAACAACTTCCCCGACCGGGCGCTACGTAACATTGGCGTGGTGGGATTTACCGTTTTAGGTAAGTTATAAAACTAGTCCCAGTCTTCTAGATTCCGGTAATAGATTCTATGACTTGATATGTGCAACTAAAACAAATAAACAGCCCAAACTTGAAGTTTAGTTAAAAAAAAAAACATTTATTTTTAATTCCGTTACTTGTAATGAAGAATGTCCCGCGGACTGCAGACTGCTGGATTTTGTAGAAATCTTCACTGCAGGGCTGCCCCGTCCTCTTCCTGCTGCTGAAATTCTGGAGTTTTGGGGGTTAACAGCTTCAGGTCTCCAGACTCAGCTGCACTAAAGATGAACATGTGGGACACGCCCCCTCCTGCCTCCTCCTGCCCTCTCCTTCAGTCTAGGTTCACACCTTCTGCTGCATTATGCAAAAACGCACTACAGTCCCATTTAACATGATTTCCTATGGGACACATTCACATCTATGCGTTTTCACCCGGTGCGTTTTTTTGAAAGGGTCGAGGACTTTTTTAGCCCGGGTTCACACTTGCTTGGTGCGGCACATCGCATGTGATTCGTGAAGGAACCGCACCGCATTTCTGTGCAAATCACATGCGAATTCTGTGCGCTGCGATTTGAGCCATAGATTTTGTATGGCTGAAATCCATGGCATTTGCACCAAAAAGTGCAGGACCCTTTTTTTGGTCCCCACTAGAATTGCATCACATGGGTATTCACGCCTATGTGATCCGATTCTGCACATCGCACTGCGTTCTGAGAATCGATTTCGGGGTGTTTAACTTAACACACCCGCAGCGATTCGCATGAACTAGGTGCGATTGTGAGGCGATGCGGAATTTACACAGAAACCACTGCAAATTCAGTGTGAACCCAGGCTAAAACGCGAAATGTTGCGTTTTTGGTTCTATAGACTTCAGTAGAAACGCTGCAGAAAAGCATGTAGTGCGTTTTTTTTATGTCTTTTTGATGCATTTTGATTTTAATCTGCCTAGCAACAAGCAAAAAAAATTTTAAAAATTTAAAAATCAAAAAACGCTTCAAAAACATGGCAAAAACGCAAAACGCACTGCTGAAACGGATCAAATGCAAACTGCATAGCTGTGAACCAGGGGTGAACTGACAGCTCATGGGGCCCCGGGCAATAAGAGATCATGGGGCCCCTGTGTCCTCGCCAATACTCAAACCACACCCAAAAAAGCCTATGAAAGGTACCAGGGGCATCTCATGGGGTCCCCTACTGACCCCGGGCCCTCGGGCAGTGCCCGAGTTTCCAAATGGTCAGTCCACCCCAGGGCCCTCGGGCTGACCATTTCCGGGGGCAAATTCGGGCACTGCCCGAGGGCCCGGGGTCAGTAGGGGGCCCCATGAGATGCCCCTGGTACCTTTTTCATAGGCTTTTTTGAGTTTGGGCAAGGACACAGGGGCCCCATGATCCTCTATTGCCCGGGGGCCCCATGAGTTGTCAGTCCGCCCCTGGTGTGAACCTAGCCTCAGTCCTTTCACTGATTACACTAACAGAACCTATGAATGGGGGAGGGAATTCTGTGACCGATGAGACTCCACCCCCCTCCCCCATTCACAGAACATGTTACAGGCAGCACCCAATGCGATTCTGTCAGCTAGATAGGGTGAGGTCCCTGGGCAGTTGCCTAGTTTCCCCCGTCCACCTAACTCCAGTCCTGGAAAGGAGACAGGTCAGCCATGCTGGGGCCTTACACCCTGACACTGGGCTGACATTTGAACTCCGGCAGAGAGAGGGAGAGAATACAATGGAATAACAGCATCCTTGAAAGTCCCTGGAAGTCCTTGGAAGGTTAAGAGTAAGGAATCGGATTCTAGGAAATGTCCGGACCTGAGAATTTTTTGCAAACAGAAGAGGGTCCAGTGCCAAGATCTATCGGAGGAAGGAGACAGGATTCTCCAAAAAGTTACATTTTTTGGTAACATTATTATTATTATTATTACATATTGGAATTACACTTTAAGGGACTTCTTTCAGAAATTGGTTTTACTGGTTTAATAAATTGTTTTTTGTTACCTCTTCCCAGTGCCTCCCTCAGATCCCATTTGCAACATTCAGGGCTCCCTGGACATTGGAAGTGACATTACTCTATCATGTAGCTCGGAGGAGGGAATTCCAAGACCCACCTACCTTTGGGAGAAGGTTGAAGGTCCTCTTCTCCCGGCCTCTATAACACAAGGTGAGCAAATGAATATCTAAAGAACAAAGGCTATCCATTCACTAGAGAGTGGTGACATCACTGAGAATGCAGTCTATCTGATCACTAGAGAGCGGTGACATCACTGAGAATGCAGCCTATCCAATCACTAGAGAGCAGTGACATCACTGAGAATGCAGCCTATCCAATCACTAGAGAGCGGTGACATCACTGAGAATGCAGCCTATCCAATCACTAGAGAGCGGTGACTTCACTGAGAATGCAGTCTATCTGATCACTAGAGAGCGGTGACATCACTGAGAATGCAGCCTATCCAATCACTAGAGAGCGGTGACATCACTGAGAATGCAGCCTATCCAATCACTAGAGAGCGGTGACATCACTGAGAATGCAGCCTATCCAATCACTAGAGAGCGGTGACATCACTGAGAATGCAGCCTATCCAATCACTAGAGAGCGGTGACATCACTGAGAATGCAGCCTATCCATTCACTAGAGAGAGGTGACATCACTGAGAATGCAGCCTATCCAATCACTAGAGAGCGGTGACATCACTGAGAATGCAGCCTATCCAATCACTAGAGAGTGGTGACATCACTGAGAATGCAGCCTATCCAATCACTAGAGAGCGGTGACATCACTGAGAATGCAGCCTATCCATTCACTAGAGAGCGGTGACTTCACTGAGAATGCAGTCTATCTGATCACTAGAGAGCGGTGACATCACTGAGAATGCAGCCTATCCAATCACTAGAGAGCGGTGACATCACTGAGAATGCAGCCTATCCAATCACTAGAGAGCGGTGACATCACTGAGAATGCAGCCTATCCAATCACTAGAGAGCGGTGACATCACTGAGAATGCAGCCTATCCAATCACTAGAGAGCGGTGACATCACTGAGAATGCAGCCTATCCATTCACTAGAGAGCATCGCTGAGAATGCAGCCTATCCAATCACTAGAGAGCGGTGACATCACTGAGAATGCAGCCTATCCAATTCACTAGAGAGCGGTGACATCACTGAGAATGCAGCCTATCCAATCACTAGAGAGCGGTGACATCACTGAGAATGCAGCCTATCCAATCACTAGAGAGTGGTGACATCACTGAGAATGCAGCCTATCCAATCACTAGAGAGCGGTGACATCACTGAGAATGCAGCCTATCCATTCACTAGAGAGCGGTGACATCACTGAGAATGCAGCCTATCCATTCACTAGAGAGAGGTGACTTCACTGAGAATGCAGCCTATCCAATCACTAGAGAGCGGTGACATCACTGAGAATGCAGCCTATCCAATCACTAGAGAGCGGTGACATCACTGAGAATGCAGCCTATCCAATCACTAGAGAGCGGTGACATCACTGAGAATGCAGCCTATCCATTCACTAGAGAGAGGTGACATCACTGAGAATGCAGCCTATCCAATCACTAGAGAGCGGTGACATCACTGAGAATGCAGCCTATCCATTCACTAGAGAGCGGTGACATCACTGAGAATGCAGCCTATCCATTCACTAGAGAGCGGTGACACCACTGAGAATGCAGCCTATCCATTCATTAGAGAGCGGTGACACCACTGAGTATACAGCCTAGCCATTCACTAGAGAGCGGTGACATCACTGAGAATGCAGCCTATCCAATTCACTAGAGAGCGGTGACATCACTGAGAATGCAGCCTATCCATTCACTAGAGAGCGGTGACATCATGAGAATGCAGCCTATCCATTCACTAGAGAGCGGTGACACACACTGAGTATGCAGCCTATCCATTCACTAGAGAGCGGTGACACCACTGAGTATGCAGCCTATCCATTCACTAGAGAGCAGTGACATCACTGAGTATACAGTCTATCCATTCACTAGAGAGCGGTGACGTCACTGAGAATGCAGCCTATCCATTCACTAGAGAGCGGTGACATCACTGAGAATGCAGTCTATCCATTCACTAGAGAGCGGTGACATCACTGAGAATGCAGCCTACATTCACTAGAGAGCGGTGACATCACTGAGAATGCAGCCTTGCAGTGGCCATGCTGCGCTCCGTCGGTCACTAAGGTGATATATTCCGGGTCTGTCTGGCTATCCTGCAATATTCTGCCTGGTGTGTATGGCCAGTCATGCAGCTTTTTATTTCCCGTCCGGCTCCAGTCTAGAATTTGCTGACAGAGATTTAGCTTGCGCGGCGTAAAACGAATGAGTATAAGCGAATCATAAATCATCGGCGGGACGCGGTGTGTAATGACTTCGCGTGACGTTATTTATTTCCTAGTGGACCTTATGATTTAAGCGTCTCCTTTTTGCCAATAGATATGACGGAGATTGAATAATTGCCTTTCACTTGTTACTGGCAGCTCCTTCTTTTAATTGACCGCTCGGCGGAAAACGCGCAGAAAAATCTATTTCCGTTTTATGGCGAGTCCTCCATTATCACATTGTCATCCGCCCAATTGTAATAATAAATGGAGAATTAATATCTCATTGATTTCAGGAAGAAAAAAATCTTCTTGTTTAATATTTTAAAAGGAAACCCATCAGGAGACAAATGCGTAAGTCTTCCTTGGAAAATGCTAAATATCCGGCTGACATGCTGGCTCCTTGTGAATTTTAATGGGCCGATGGCCTAAAAAAAAAATCTCAACCGCTAAACTCCAGGCATACATAGATGAAATCAGGGGCAGACTGACAACTCATGGGGCCCCCGGGCAATAGGGGATCATGGGGCCCTTGTGTCCTTGCCCCAACACAAAAAAGCCTATGAAAAAGGTACCAGGGGCATCTCATGGGGCCCCCTACTGACCCTGGGCCCTCGGCAGTGCCCGAGTTTCCAAATGGTCAGTCCGCCCCTGGATGAAATACATATAAATGCCCTTACCCTTCAAACCCTTCAAAGAATTTGTGTTTCGGTCCATCCAGTCCTGATATTTACACAGCTCTGCCGCACAGCACAGCCCTGGCTGTAAAGGGAGGAGACTTTGCACTTAACTAACATTTAACGGAATCGTCCCTCCCCCAACCTGTGAATGGAGAAGCAGCAGACCAGGGGCGGACTGACAACTCATGGGGCCCCCGGGCAATAGGGGATCATGGGTCCCATGCAGGGGCGGACTGACAACTCATGGGGCCCCCGGGCAATAGGGGATCATGGGTTTCCATGCAGGGGCAGATTGACAACTCATGGGGCCCCCGGGCAATAGGGGATTATGGGGCCCCTGTGTCCTTGCCCAAACTCAAAAAAACCTATGAAAAAGGTACCAGGGGCATCTCATGGGGCCCCCTACTGACCCCGGGCCCTCGGGCAGTGCCCATGTTTCCAAATGGTCAGTCCGCCCCTGGTCCCATGTGTCCTTGCCCAAACTAAAAAAAGCCTATGAAAAAGGTACCAGGGGCATCTCAAGGGGCCCCCTACTGACCCCGAGCCCTCAGGCAGTGCCTGAGTTTCCAAATGGTCAGTCCGCCCGTGCAGCAGACTGATGAGCTCATCTCTCTGTCACTCTGTTCTCTCCTCCTATCAGCATGCTTCTTGCACTGCGGCACAACTGATCGGCTCCTTCTGCTGTAGCTTGCTTTCCTAGTCTGAGCTCTGATGTACCCAGGGGCGGACTGACCATTTGGAAACTCAGGCACTGCCTGAGGGCCCGGGGTCAGTAGGGGGCCCCACGAGATGCCCCTGGTACCTTTTTCATAGGCTTTTTGGAGTGTGGGCAAGGACACAGGGGCCCCATGATCCCCTATTGCCCAGGGGCCCCATGAGTTGTCAGTCCGCCCCTGGATGTACCAGTACTGCAAGATGCTGACACCAGGTCATGTTCAGCTTCTTGCATTATATTAAGCTTCGAGTCACACTTGTAGGTGTGTCCAAGCGTGGGAGCGCGCCATTGTGTTTTTCATGCGTTCCCATGCGTCACTTGTGGGGCGACCCCTTGGTTTCAATGGGCTGCCCTACGCACAAGAAACAAGGAAAAGAAGCCCCAAAAACATGCTGCATCACTTACTGAGTTTTCCGTGACATGTTCACACCCAAGCGTTTTCTGCAGCGTTTTGCATTTTGCAGAAACGCAGTACAGCCCATTTAACATGATTTCCTATGGGACACGTTCACATCTGCGCGTTTTCACCCGGTGCGTTTTTGGAAAGGGTCAGGGACTTTTTTTAACGCAAAACGTTGCGTTTTTGGTTCTATAGACTTCAATGGGAACGCTGCAGAAAGGCATGTATTGCGTTTTTGATGCGTTTGCGTTTAAAATCAGCTTAGCAACAAGAAAAAAAAAAAGCAAAGGGCATCAAAAACACGTAAAAAACGCAAGTACAAAAACTCTAAACACAGCACAAAACGCATCAAACGCAACCTGCATAGGCGTGACCCTAGACTTAGATTTTGGGCATCCCCGCAGCAAAAATGTCATGTTTGGTGAGACACTCCCAAAGGAAAATCACGTCCAAAGGGATGCAGACCCTGCCACTTTCCTCATTAGAACCCTGCAAGTGCAGCAGCTGATTGATAATTATGAAGTTGCCCTCATTCACATTCACACTCTGCCATGGACACAGACAAACAAAACAGCTATTTCTTCAGAATACCAAAAGGTAGGAATCTGCAACAAAGTTTGTTAAAATCCCAGCAATGTGCACAGATCACCCAGAGGGGGAGGTTTTTGTTTTTCTGAACAAAAGTGGAGTTACACTTTGAATGACAATTGCGCAGTCATTCAACACTGTACCCATATTACATTTTTTTTTAATTTGTTCACACAGATAGAGCTTTTTTTTTGGGTGGTATTCTTTCTTTCTTTTTTTATTATGTTTTTGCTTACTATTTTTATCTATTATTTTTTCTTACAGTTATTACTACCATAGTAACATTGTACTACTCTGGGGAGGTGATCAGGATTTTTTTTTTTCTTACACATTATGATTGCTTATAACAATGAATTTAACTGTTACAAACATTTTTACTGAATGAAATTGATTCATTCACAGTGATTAGCCGCGATTGGCCCTGTCTGTACCATGTGATCA